AATTTTTTGGGCCCTTTTCCCTTTTTTCACCTCTTCTAGGTGTAAGTCTTGATTAAATTATCTGAATCTAAGTGTTCCTTCCATTTTCTTACCCCAAAAAAGAAAAAAAGGTTTCGTCTTTGAGGAATTTCAGCCAAAGGGGTACAAGAATTTATAGGAATTTCTAAGGATTTAATTATTTTATTAAGTCTGACATAATATAATGGATTCAGATTCTTGGACTCGTCTATTTACGTCTTCAAGGCGTTACCAATCTCGATCAGGTCAGTATTATGTTACTATTTATCTTCTTTTTAGCTTACCCATAAATGATGCAGGTGTATAGATTACAACTTTTATAACCCCCCACCCCAAATGATTTTTGCTTATTTTCTGAGATGGGGTTAAATGGAATATGTTTCTTTGCACCAAAAATGATGAAATTTACATTTGCATTTGTTTTTTTATCGCTATTGGTTTTCCTTTCCTGGAAATGAGCCAGATATGAAAATTACAATTTTTTTTGTCGAGCTGGGGTTTTCTTGAGTACCAGAAAATGAAGAAATTTACATTTTCTTATGTGGGTTTTGCTTATTTTCTGTAGAAATAATGTAATTAGAAATTGTTGTTTATAGGTTTTCGTTGCTCGGAAGTCAACCTGGTGTAACGATTACAAGCTTTTGTTTTTCCAGCTTTTTCGTTTAATGAGCTGAGGTTTAGTGAATAGGTTTCTCTACCTGAAAAGCATGGAAGAATTTACGTTTGCATTTCTTTTTTTTTCCTCATTAGTGATGTTGTTTAGAATGTAAGTAGAGATTATTGTTGCGCAAAAATGAAGTAGGTGTGAAGAATACAAATATATGATTTTTCCACCTTTTTGTTTAAACTTTTTTGGTGTGTTCTGCAGATATCTATAGTAACATAGGAGAGGAGTATGATGGTGAAGAGGAATCGAGGCCAGAGTTTCTGTGTCCTTTCTGTGCTGAGGATTTTGATATTGTTGGCCTCTGTTGTCATATCGATGAAGAGCATCCTATTGAGGCTAAGAATGGGGTACAATATCTCTACTACTAGTACTTCTTTGCCCATTTGTTTTCATTGAGTTAGCATATGTAGGTTTTGCGTAAGCGTTTAAAACCGGGGTGACTGTCACAGAACCTTCTAATTTGCCATTAGAATTCTTTACATTGACCTTATTCAGGAGTTGGTTTCATTCGTCTTATCAAAAAAGGGAAATGGTTTCTTTTCTTTCTATTCTTCCTTGGTGAACCCAATAGGTTTGTGAAGATAAGTATTGGCGATCTAAAATGGAGGCTTTCATTTCTTGAAATAATTCTTTACCATTAACTGTGTATATGTCTTTAGAGGCTTGGACTTCAGAATTCAAATTAGTGAATCACACTGGTTGTTTGAAGCTTTGAACTTCAAATTTCAAAGTAATGAATTGAATTCGTTTTCTGTTTTCCTCATCTCCGTGTCAGAAAAAACATAGTTTCTTTTTTTCCCTCTCCTGCAAAATATGGAGATACAGAAATTTTTAATTCATGAACCATATTAAATTAAGCAATATAGATAAAATATCAGAAGCATTATGTGCAATTAACACTGGTGCTACGTTGCACAGTGGTTTTGGTTGATCACCTGCTCCCCTTGCTCCTCTTTAAAGATAGAATGCTATAACATCTGGATGGCTCAACCATGAAACTTGGTGACGAGAATCTATCTTCACAGACTTGTGAAGGTAACACTTAAATTGATCAAGCTTCTAGTCACTGGAGAATGCCCCAAACCGGAAAAAAAAAGGAGTTCTTCATGCAGTGATCTCTATTTGGAATATGATCAGCTAATTTTTATTCATTCTAGTATTGTTATGTTTAAAGGGTCTTGACTTATTTCTTCCCCACCTCCCTCTTCTTCTGTTCGAGGGTTGGACATACTACCTTTTTCTCTTGAGAAAAAAGGTATAACAAATGAGCTTTCTACGACTCCTTTCTGAAGAGCTTCCAGTTTGGGGTAATATTGAATGATTGGACAGTTTAACCATCTGCATTTCTGCTTCTTTTTTTAAATATATTTTTTTATCTTTGTTTTCTTTTTATGAATAATCTGTTTCCGAGGGTCTTTCAGAAACTGCCTCTCTACTCCTGCGGGGTAAGGGGGTAAGGTCTGCATACACACTACCCTTCCCAGACTCCATTAGTGGAATTTTACTGGGTTGTTGTTGTTGTTGTTGTGGTAGCTTTACTACTCTTTATTAGTTCCTCAGTTCTCCGGGTACTGAAATGGCTTGTCATCTCTAAGTTATTTGATGGAGTTTTAACTTAAAATCTAGTGTTCTGAATTTGGTTTCCATGTCATGTTAATAAAATTTCCAAAACTATAAGAGTCAGCTAATTAAAAAGTGTTGTCTCATCTGCTGGCTATAGAATTGACAAAATTGTGTACTTCAACTATCCAGGAAAAAGGGGCAGCCCAGTGCACTAAGCTCCCACTATGCAGGGTCCGGGGAAGGGCCGGACCACAAGGGTCTATTGTACGCAGCCTTACCCTACGTACAATAACCAAAAAATGAAAAAAAAATAGTTCACTTACTTAAGTGAGCAGCGACTTAAGGTGTTCTAGGGCTCACTCCGTAAAGAACGCATAGTGTGTTTGTGTGTCTGTGGTTCAGGGCTCAACGAAGTTACTTATTTGGATAGTGATGTATGATAAGCGGCTTTCATAAAAATAAAATACTGAATAGCGGAAACAACCTCTCTATCCTCACAATGTAGGGGTAATGTCTGCGTACACACTACCCTCCCCATACCCCCGGTGTGGGATAATACTGGGTATGTTGTTGTTGTTGTAAAATACTAAATAACCTCTCTTAAAATTTGAGAAGGAGCTACCTAATTTTTGAGGTTCTCTTAAAGAGCACATGGTGATCTCTAGCACTTTGTCAAGCTTTCTTGTGACGTTGGATAACATGTCTTTATATGCAGATATGTCCGGTTTGTGCAAAAAGGGTTGGAATGGATTTGGTTGGTCATATTACTCAGCAACATGGAAATATTTTAAAGGTATCTTTTTGGTTATCTTTCATTAATGATTTTCATGAGTTTTGGACTTGAAACCTCTCTGGGGTTTGCTTCAGTATCAAATGTGCAGCATATCAGAATTCTTTGATTTAAACCGTATTTGAGCGTGTCAGTTTGTCTTAGTTTTACCGCTGGAACCATATGCATAGTATTTACCGTTGACTGCATTACAGGTACAGCGCAGGAGAAGATTTCGAAGGGGTGGTACTTCGGCTCTCTCTATTTTAAGAAGGGAGCTAAGGGAAGGAAATCTGCAATCCATCCTTGGGGGGTCCTCTCGTTTGGTTTCTTCCTCTACTACAGATCCCGATCCCTTGTTATCTTCATTCATTCACAATACACCTTTGGCTAATGAAATTCCTGATGTTCAACCTTTATCTTGTACTAAGCAAAGTTCAAAACAAGAAAGCACTCTTGAAAACTCTTCTGAAAGGTAATGCGTCATTACTTCTGTTCGTGTTTTTTTTCTCTCTCTCAACTGCCTATGATTATGTGTATTACACTAGTTCCCTGGAGGTTTTATATTCATGTCTCTTGGATTGCATGTTTGAGTGGCAACTTGATTAAACCTTGTTCCATTGATTGCATGTCTGTCTGCTAACTGGATTAAACCTTTTGTTTAGTGCTTGAGTTGTTGATTATTTTTTTATCTGGATAGCCTTTTACGTTTTTGCTTATTATCAAGTTAAACATGCGAAATTGATGAGCTGTTACAAAATATATACCTCATCTATGTCATTTGTATGTTAATAGATTCATTTGTCAATAGGGGTAACTACTCCTGTTGAGACTTGACAAAGGTAAGGTAGGGACTAGTGATGACTGTTTATGAAGCCGTGGTCATTTGATTGTGCGAGGCTTTTCTGTTGACATATAAATCATTGTTTCCCTCTTTTTTTTGTGGGGTTTGGGGGGGGGGGGGTTGGTGTTGAGGTGAGATTTGGCCATGTAGGCAAGAAACCTAACATATTAAAAGAAATGACGCATTATCTGAGGCCTAAGGGTGGATTGTGGGCTGTAAAAGCTGCTCATCATCAAGATACATGTGGCATTGAGTTTCTTCTGTGGTCCACTTTTATTTACCAATGTCCTAATTTATTGATTTTGTTGTTCTTGTTGAACAGAAATGTTCAGCCACCTCCACTATCTGACAAAGATCAGGAGGAGAAGGCCAGGAGAAGTGAGTTTGTGCAAGGGCTGCTGCTGTCCACCTTTCTTGAAGAAGACTTCTAAGCAAGAAGAGAATAATGTAGCTTGGATAGAGAAAAGAAAGGGGATGCTGCCATTCTGTGTAGTAGCTAGGGCAAGAGGGAACTCTTAAAAGTCCTACTTATGTGTATATTAATTAAAGACTACATTCGTTTCCCATCTTTCAATGTAGGCCATATGCTAATATATTTCTAAGTTAATTGTGTAAAGCAACAAGAGAGATATATGACTATATTGCTAGTTTCACTAAAATTATCAAGCAGTGAAGCAGCTAGCGCCGTACTATGGCTGCTGCTTTTCATCCATTTGCAGTAGAATTTGCCTTCGCCTACACTGCTGGTTACCACCAATAGGCAAAAGACCTGTATTGGGAAACAAAGTTAGGACGAGGTTGGACAGTCTAAATTTTGAGGGTGGTGTATTAGCCCCAAAATAGAGTTTCCTGGCATAAGGTACTTGAAGAGACTTTTATTGACCACCAACAATATTTGTTACTGGCTTGGAAGGGTTGACATGGAACAATGAAATATGACGATAGTTTTTAATAGGCGTTGATAGTCGTTTTGTAGATGTTACTTGCATCACATACGTAACAGGGGAGGATGCAAACGGGAGGGGTGGGTTCGCGTGAACGCATCCTCCTCTCTCTAAATCATGCGTAGCACTAGTGAATTTCAACTCAAATACTTAAATTAATATGGGTGAACCCAAGCTCAAGTGAGCGCTTTAGTACATTGATAAGGAGTTGCACCTTCTGCCTTTTAGTTAGGGCTGTCTAAGGGGAGGGTACCGGGTCCTTAAGGGTTAAGGGTAGGGTGCGTAAGGGTAAAGGAAAGGTTCTTGAAGGGTACTTTTCTTAAGGGGTTTTTTTTTTAGCAAATATACCACTAGGTAGGTTGCCTAGTGGCTAATACGTAGATAAAATAATTCCAAAATGGGTCCAAGGTTTACAATTTATCCAAACAAAAATAAAACAAGACATCTACAACTACCTATTACACAAGCAGCTCTAAAAATCACTAACAAGCTAGCTATTACAATGAATGAGAAGGTAGATTGCCATAAGAAGATTGTGTAAGTGAGTCCAGAAGCCAAGTGCAAAGACCTCATAGTAGCACCTCTAATGCCCTCACAAGGCGCCAGGTTTTGCATTCCAAAGAACAAGGCAAGTGTGAATCTCTAACTAATACACCATACCACAACAATTCTCAAGAATTCCTCCAAGCATGTGTAGATATAGCAGCTGATCTTCCTATAACTTGTGTGTTGTCTCCATGATGTGAAAACTGCGTAGGTATCTACAATAGATGAACCTTATGGAGTTCCTGTATATTACTGAACAAGATAGTACAAATGTAGTCCAAGGCAGCCTGAATTGTACTCCAATAATGGTTAAAATAGCACAGGCTAGCCAGTTTTTAGACTGGTCATTCAATAATAGCCAGTGTTTGCAAAGTCATTGAAAAATAGCCACTATTTTGCTGCAACAGGGACCAGTCCAGCATAATATACTAGAGATCGGTACACCTGTGTATGAACTTCCAGCATATTATGCTGGAACTCCAACACGCGGAAAGTTCCAGCATAATATACTGGAGATTGGAGCACTTGTGTATGAATTTCCAGCATATTATACTGGACTGGTATATTATACTGGAACTCCGGTATATTATGCTGGAGTTCCAGTATACTTATGCTGGAACTCCATTATAATATGCAGAAGTTGCAGTATACTTATGCTGGAACTGCAATATAATATGCTGGAGTTCCAATATAGTTATGCTGGAAATCCAGTATATTATGCTGGAGTGTTTTCCGGATTTTGAACAGTGTTTTCGTTCAGATTTATCTTTATATAAAAAATGGCTAAATTTCAATTACTTTTGAAACAGTGGCTATTTTTGAATGACCACTTGTAAAAATGGCAATTTTTAAGTTTCTCCCCCAATAAGGTACTTGTAATAGTACAATACCAAACATAAGTTTCCTGCCTGACATTACCATCACATACACTGCCCCACCACCTCCGGATTGAGCATGCAACCATGATGATACCACTAGACAGTGGCATGGTAGTGTACTGTCACAATCAGATAGAATCGTCAATATGGGGCTTGGCCCGTTGGGCCCAACCCATGATTTAGTTGGGTTGGGTTGGGCTAGAATTTTTGGAGCCCATTTTAAAATGACGTTTTTAAGTCCGGCCCGAGTAAGTCCGTGGCCCGTGAGGCTTGATTGAGGCTGTGCTGGACTGGCCCGTGGGCCTAATAAAATTATTTATTTAATATAATATAAATAGTATACTGCCTCTAGTGATGGAAAGCCAGAATTGGATCTTTACTTAGAGGAACCAAAGCTTGATCCTGAAAAATTTCAAGAGATTGATGATGTCATGTATTAGAAGGATCACTATAGAAAATATCCCGATCTTTTAGTGAAGACGCATGATGTACTTAGTATCTTATTACCACTGTAGCGTCAGAAGCATCATTTAGCATTGGTGGGCGTGTTCTTACAAAGTACAAAAGTTGTATCCATCATGAAAATGTCTAAACACTTGTTAGTACTCGAAATTGTTTACACGGCTTTTTCCAAACTCAATGTAATATTTTTTATTTATGTGAATTTAAATATTATTAGTTTTTAAAATTTAAATATTCTTAATATTTAATTAATTAATATTGCATCTGAATTGTAAATGTAGATGAAAGTGACGATGTTAAGACAACCTTGTCACAAGCAAATTCAAATGTGTTTGATAAAGATAATGTGTTGGATATCCCAAAAGGGTTATCGACGTTCTCTTGAATAGTTTGTTTTGAGTTTTAACTTTTAATGAATGAAATATAGTCTTGTCTTCTACTTTTCTAGTGTTTATTGTGATATATTAGAACAATATAAAAAGTTATTAAGTTTTGCAATTTTTTTCCAATAAGATACTTTTTAACTTTTAAATATTTATCTTTTTTTTTAGGTTAGAACTTAGGAAAAAAATATAAAATTATATTTTAAAAAATAATGGGCCGATTCGTGGGGGCTCGTGGCCCACGTAGGGCTGGGGTGGACTGACCATAATAAGGTCCATCAAAATGATGGGCTAGCCCATCCCAGTCCGCCACTAGCTAAAGCCCGCGTGGGGTGGGCTAACCCGACCCAGACCATATTGAGAGCTCTACAATCAGATCTAACCAGGCATCAATAATGCGCATTTGTAAACCTTGACTTTTTTTTTAGCAATCTTTGACTTCTAAGGGTATAGGTTAAGGGTATTTTATTTGGTACCCTACCAATACCCCTATCGATCCTAAGGGTGCGGAACCGGTACTTAGGGGTAATTTTAAATTAAAAATTTAAAAATTTATTTTTAAATACAACAAACTTTAATGGATGAAAAAATTCAAGGCTATGAAGTGCCTTTTATTTTATTTTATTCAATATAAACACTCGATTTCTAATACAAGTTACAAGCATTTATTTGTATTTCAACACTTGTAAAAATAAAATTACATATTTCTTTTGAACGATTTAATTTTTCAATAACTTTTCGTGGTTCTTCGGTTGGAACTAGTAGCACTTGTTCATCAGTGTCCCTGCCATCTCTGGTAAGTATTATTTCATTATATGTATCGTCATCTTCTTGAATTATTTCTGGAAGGCCAAAGTTTCTACTTTTCGCTTTAATCCAATCTCTAAATAAAATGGTAGTCTCCAAGGTGTCTTCTGCCAATGAGTGTTTGTGGTCTCCAAGTTAAAATCGTGTTTCACTGAAAGCTCTTTCGGAAGCTACGGATGAAGCTTGAATAGTTAGCATATCTCGGGTCATTTTTGAAAGAATCGGAAATGATTGTTGGTTCATTCTCCAATATTTTAGCAAGTCTTCATTCCCTTCATCATCGCAAAATCAATAATTCCTGCATGTAAATAAACATCAAGCTCGTTAATTTGTGAAGATTGCGAATGACTAATCATTTGCTGAATAGCGCCAAAAGGTCTATTTGTAACAGCCTTTTAAAGAGGCTGAGATTATGAAGAAGTAGAGGCACCACTAGTTGGTGGAACATAGTTCATTTGCCTTTGGTAATAGTCATACACAATTTTAGCATTTTTTTGAATACTAGCCAAACAGGTAGAAAGAGTTGGTCTTCCAGTTGGATCTTTTTCTAAATTAAAGTAAATTATTTCAATAAGTGTTTTTGCACCAATAACTTTGATTTGAGGATGTAAAACAGCAACAGTAATGTAAATAACAGGAATAGGAAAAAAATATATTTAAAAAAATTTTCAACCATTATATACTCAAAAAATAACATCGGAATTCCAGCAATATATATTACTAGAAATAGTTGGATAATATACCCCAAAAAATTCTTTATTAGCATAGAATTTTTTTTTCTAAAAAAAATGAATAAGATGAAAAGCGGTATCTCAATCATCATCTATTATCATATCGTGAAGAGATTTAACATGAGAATTAAACATCTTGGTAATCGGCAATCGATATTCATAAACAACTTCTTTAGGAATTTTTCTAAAGGGTAATTCACAAGATTCACAATGCATCATAAATTCTCTACGTCTAGCAGGTATTTAAGACCGAAAAATATAACCAACTGCAAATCTATTTTTTTCAAGAATAGTTCCAAATAAAGTAAGTCCATCTCGAACAACTTAGTTATAAATTTGACATGCACATCTAATGAAATAAATCCGTAAAAGGTGGGGTTAATCGAGTTTTCAAAACTCCAATATTAGAAGTGTTACCAGAAGCATTATCTAAAGTAATAATAATAATTTTGTTAGAAAGTCCACACAAATCACAAATTTCTTTAATTTGTTTAGAAATAAAAATACAGTGTGTCGGTCATGAATAAATTTATAACCAAAACGGCCAGGTTTTAAAAAAAATTTAGGTACCGGTTCGGTACCTTAAGGGTACTTACCGTACCATTACTAAGGGTACTTTTTCGAATATCCTACCTTTACCCATACCCTTCACCCAAATTCCTCACCCTACCCACCAACCGGAGCGATACGGTCCGGTACCGATACCGGTACTTAAGAGTACGGGTACCGATATTACCCTACCCTAAGACAACCCTACTTTTAGTCAGGAATTCGATCCCCCTACTCTTTCTTCTTTTAAATTATATTGTAATTAATAAATAGGGTTAAATCCTCATGCCCCTACCATTTTTTCTAATTAAACACACTTTTTTGTTTCTTTTTTATTGATTACACATTTTCTTTTTATTTTTATCCTTCTTTATTTTGACTTTTAAAATTCCTAAACCAAAAATATATCTAT